CACGCGAATCATGGTCTGTCTGTAGTCATTGATATTCAAAATCGCATTCAGTTGTGTATTTTGCCACTTCCAGAAAATCCCTGCTATACAACACGTGCATCGCTGGGCTGAAATTCAGCTTCAGCGTTGGCGTTCTGAATTGCGCTCAAGGATTGCCGATTCATTGTACGATAGACGGTACTGGTAGACATGAACAGAGTTATCCTGGAGCGAAGTGGTTAAAAACGCCCTGCTACACTGACCAGCCTTTATACCTTTCAAGCGGACTTGTAAACTCTGGTTGCAATGCAAGGGAGATTCACCTCCTCTTTGCCTCATGTTGTATGAGTGCATCTGTTCAGCAAATAAATGTGCGGCAAAGTCGAAGACCACAACATCTCAATTTCATTTTTCAACTCTATATGGGAAGAACATGTTTGCTAATGCTCGCTATGACTGAAACGACTGCATCTTTTGTGTGCACCAATATGGAGCTAGGTAAAGATGAATCATTCATAAACAAGGTAGCACGAATGGTCGATTCCCTCCTTTGTACTGAGCAGCTATATTCACCTAACCAGCGGCCCTTCTGATTCTGACTTGTTATCTTGCACAGCCGAGCTAAAGGGGATCTACGATCATGCATGAGATGGCATTGTACGGACATTTCTATAAAGAGCTGTAAGCGAAGTCTGGAAATGTCTCAGGTCACCAAAAATATCAGCTGTCGTGGGTGAAAGCCAGGTATTACTAGGTCTGATCCAATTTCTTTTAGTTTATGGTAAAACTGTGATTTAAAGAACCAAAGTAAAGCGTCGGTATCACTTTCCTCATTACAGGCGTAATTGCAAACCGGTCTCTTCCATAATGCCCAGATGTCAACGGTTTCAAGCAACCCATCCTTCACGGTAGATCCACAGAAGCAACAGGAAGGCTAAGCTGCGTTGGAAGGGTCATATTTAACGTACTTCGGTTTCATAAAATTCAGCGACAGTACCGACAAATTAGAGTTACGTCGCAGAATTACCCATGGTTCAAGCACCTTAGGTATCCTGTCTAAATGTTCAGACATATACAGCAATATGCCTCTGCACAAAACTCAAAAATCTGCATCTGAGGCATTGAGTTAGATGCTCAAATCGTGTTTCAGACTTTATCCTGTGTCGCTTCCCGGCATAGAGATCGTCGTTCTAGCGAAGAATCAAGAACAGAACTTGAACAGCACCCTACATCTATGACTTAGACGCACGACGAGAGTCAACAAACACAAAAACGAACGAAATTAAAATGATTGTGTCCTAGTCCTGATAAATTTACTATCCTTACAGTAGAAAATTAACGGAACGGAAGTTAGTGCTGTTATGCAAATAAAATATTTACTCCAACTCTCGTGCCTCTTAAGAGGGAACGGAATGACGAAACAGAATTCGAGAAAGAGGCGAAGTAGGCAAAGCAGTTAGCTTGTTTCTAAACAGTTAATGATGGATATTAACATGAACTGAACTGAATTGCAGCGGCAATACATAATTCATTAAACTGACGCTGTTCTGCATGGCAAGCTGATCTGCATGACTTGCATCAACACTGATCCGCAGCATGAATCAGAAGAACTTTTTATTTGTTCCAGTTTCAACACTGCCTTTAGTGTGTGTGCAGTCATGTTCTTAGTGGCGTGAGTTCCAGTTTCACCTGTAAGTTTATTTTTATATTTGGAATATGACGAGGCTGTTATAATGAGGTATGTAATGGTGGGAGTCTCGGTCAAGCAAAATAGCCTACTGTTCAGA